TTAGAGTTGAACCCTTTGTGTCTCTCTGGCAAGATGTTCTGCTCCTGAATCAGCTGGGTGAGTCTTGCCTCTAGCCTCTTTGCAGGGAGTTCTGCTGAAGAGTTCCCTGCTGGGCCTGCAGCCTGGGTCAAATGAGGATCCCACGGCCCGGGTTGTCTCACTCATTTGCCGGGCCTCGCTCTAGGTCTATTCCTCTCTACCTATTTTTAAACAATTGTTCTACATTTACATTGTCAGAATATACACCTAGTAAAATTGTCAGAGTGTTATTAAGTACTTTGGGTGAAAAAATTTTTTTACAACAGCATACACAAATATAAATTATAGAACAAAAGACTAATTTTACAACAACAAAATTAATATTTTTATATTGTAGATTTTATTTAAAATGATAAAAACAGATTGACAAAAGTTATCTGTAATATATATAAGATATGAAAGGTATTTACAATATCTAGAGAATATCTTTATATCACTACTAAATCAGACAAGATTTTAAGACAAGAAAAATTGACCTCTTCTGTATTATCTCATTTTCTATGCTTAGCTTTAGAGATGTTACAAAGTGTGTATACTCACTAACGACTTTTCTGCTACAATAGCTCCTGTCACAATGAGACATTTGAATGAATATTCACTCATTCTACAATGAGTGAATGGGTGGAACTTCACTGGAGCTAGAAGCAGAATGATTTCTTTTGTTTTTGAAATAAGACAACATTATACAATAGAGCTCATTGCAAAATAAAGAACCATATAATAGTCTCTCCTGCCACTATCTGCCAGGATCCATTCTAATCACATATTCTGAATCACACCAGTGCTCTGTGTTCCCTCCCAGACTTTTCCTCATGAAAATGTATTCAAGTATGGGTATATGTTAACTTTTGCATTTTCTTACAAAAAAATTAACACTTAAGCAAAAAAATTCTGCTCTTTTCCTTATTGAACAATTCATATTGGAAATATAATGACACAGAAAACATCCTTATTCTTACAGTCTCATAATTTTCAATTGAATAGAAGTTCCATAATTATTTAGACAGTCACCGTCTAATAGCTGTTTGGGTGTAATTATACTATGAAATGTATAATTACTTAGTTAATGATGCATAAGAAATCTCTAAACATGTGTCACACAATACAGAAATACTGAGATCTGGGTATGTGATAGAAACAGGGACAGGATGGGGCAATTTCCAAATAAAACATGGATTAGTGAGCTCAGTGTAGGGCTGGAAGACAGCTTGGTAAACTTGTACCTTGGGAGAGCAGCAGAAGAAAGAGAAATACAGAAATAAATATGGCAATCATGGGAAAAATACATGAAATGGAACGAAACCAAAAGAGAAACTAGGCAGGATAGAGTATGGTAGGAGAACTCAGGGAGCAGGAAGGAGAAAGATGCCATAACAGAAGTGAAGAATGTAAAGTGCAGGGAGAGAGAACAGAGGCTGCCTCTTCTGTATTCTTTGTCCACTCTTTCAGCTCAGAGAAACAAGCAAAGCCAGTTCTCCTGGGTCACTTAAGCTTCCAGAACATAGCTTAAGCTTCCACTGACCTCCTACATCTGGACTGGCATGCTGGTGGCAATAACTTTAGGCAGAAGGATGACTTTTGCCAAGACTGTGTGTGCCCCTAGAAAGCCCCTCAATTAGTGATGGTCTTGTCTTAGCACACACCCAGCCCTCCAATTGCTAAGGTGGTAGGCAGGGTTGTGGAGATCACTCTCACAACTCACAGTCAGGAAGATACATCCCAGGGAAGTAGTAGTGTCACTATTGGACCTTGAAGGCAGGAATTGCCAGGAAAGATGGAAGCTTGAGTTTGGATCTGGAATCACTCAGGGAAGCAATAACTTCACATAGCAAGAGGACACTATGAGAGAATAGGACACTATAAAGGAGGATGATCTCAACCTCTGGAATTGAATATTTGTATGTCAGCTGTAGGGGAAGCAATCATGCTTTTCTTGCTTTTTTATTACAGGTTTGAGTCTTCTAAAAATCATATTATTTCATATATTTACATTTGCAAAATTTATTTTATGAGATGTACCTACAGAAATGTGTGTAGGTACATTCTTCTGATCCATTAAAAATATAATGAAGTGAGAGTGCAGGGAGCTGGAACTCAATAATGATTGCTTGCCTAGCATGTAAGAGGCCCTGAGTTCAACCCCCAGAACCACTAATAACAGCAACAGCAACAACAGCAATGTGATCTTCCATGTAGAAGCCATCTAGTTACAAAGTGGAGTATAGTCAGAACGTTAAAGTCCCTTGTTGACCACAAACTATTTGATGACAAGAACAGCCATTTCAGATTTGAGTCAGTACTTTCACATTACTTGAGTCCATGGTGAGGATTGTTCTTGGGAAAGAACTAATTCTTGAGAAGCTGATAGCCCTGATTCACAGTATCTTGAAAGGAGTATATGAATTTGTTATTCTGGAGAGTAAAGATGAAAGGGTTTATGAAAGGTGTCACCACTAAAACCAGCAGTGATGCCACCCTGTTGTACTCAGCTGCCTGCATTTGCCTGGGCTTCAGTAGAGGAACAAGCAGCTGCCAAAGCTGATCACAACATAAATGAAGTAGGAGGCACAGGTGGAGAAGGCTTTCCTCCGGCCAGAAGCTGAGGGGATCTTGAGGTTGGTAGAGACAAAGTAGGTGTATGAGATAATTGTAGGTATTACTGAACCAACAATAACAAAAACAGCCAATAAAAAAAAATAGACTCAGTGAAAAGAATGTTATTGCAGGACAGTTTGAACTGTCACAGTAAAATGGTCTAACAGACTTGATTTGCAGGTGGCATAGACCAGCCAGATTTGAAAAAGGAATCCAAGCACCCATCACACAGCTACCATACAGATACAGGTGTGGTTGTTCATGTGATGGTGTACCTCAAGGGATTACAGACAGCCACATAATGGTCCATGGCCATCACTCCTATCAATGCCAATTCCAAGGTTCCAAAAGAGAGGTACAGATAGAGTTGCGCACAACATGAGGTCAAAGTTATTATTTGGGTCCTTAGGAGCAGCAATCCCTGGAGCATAAAAGGGACAGCAGTAGATGTGATCAGTATCTCCAGCACAGAAAGGTGACTGAGGAAGAAATACATAGGGGACCAAAGATGTTTATCAGCACAGACAGTGATGATGATGACAATATTGGGAATAATATTGTCACTGAGTATAGGAAGAAGAAAGGAGCAAAAAGAAGGTAGCATAATGTTTCGGAACCAGGGAAACCTAAAAGAAAACATTCAGTGGCACTGGAGTAATTTCCCAACATTTAGTGCTGACCACTCATTCCTAAAAAACCTACAAACAGAGGAGAGATAACACTGCTCATCTCAAACAAGGAAAAATGAAATCTTGTAATTTTCAGCAAAGTGGATGGGATTAGAAGACACTGTGGTAAGTAAAATAAGACAGACTCAGAAAGACAAGTTCTGCATGTTTTCTCTCATATACAGAACTAAAAAAAAAGTCAACCTGAGAGTAAAATAGTGATTGCCAGAAATTGGGAAAGGTTGGTATATGGGGAAATGGGGTCAGTTTGATTAGTATATGCTGTATGCCTGTGTTGAAATAGATCAATCCCCACCAATGTGTACCATGAACACATGTTACACTCTGGATCCCACTCAGGCTTTAACTACACAGGGCCTTGGTTTTGGTGTAATAGAAAGTTTGAAAAATCTCCTCAGATATAGTATTCTATCATCATTCTTCTCCCCTAAGTCATATAAGAAATTAAAAAAATTCAGCTGTCACTTATATGCAATAAACCCAAAAGGCTGAGCCCCTTAGAGTTTCTGCTCACTTTCTTCATATCTTTGTTTAGATGACCAAGTTCAGGGAGCCTTTACTTGTCATCTTGTCTAAGAGAACACATAGTATCCTCTGCTCTGTCACCTCACTAGATATTTATCTTTGTAGTCTCCATCACTTAAAATTAAATGTTTGCTTTTTGGTTTTTGGCACTCATTTTTACTATGTAAGCACTGAAAACGAGAGTTCTCATTCACTGTGTCTGGTAGAGATTGAGCTGGTTTTCATCAGATATTTTGAGTGAGCCATTGGATTAGTCAGTAAGTCCCTCGGTAGCTTATCCAGTCCCTGCTACCACTTTACAAGCAAATGGGCTCCTCTTCTTTTTTGTGTTCACAAGACAGTGCCCTATCAGCATTCAGCCTTCTCTCTGGATGGAATGGCTGTTGCATAAACAAGGAGCGATTTGTTGGGAGGGCCCAGTAGTTTGCTTTCCATAGTTTCTAATTAGGCAGCACCAGATGAAAAATTAGGAGAGATGAGGATTATAACAATGGGAAGGAGCTCTGCTATATCAGTACTCAGAGTAGAGGTGAAACTACTTTCCATCCAGCCCGCTACTTTGCTGCTTCCCATCCCACTGTGCAGGCCTTGAGTATCCTGACTCTAGAAGGTAGCATGTCCCAAATTACTCCTCCTGATCCCTCTTACCCTGTCCTTCACAGAGGGGAAGTACTGGAAAACACTCACCTCCAGAGGGAGGGACTAAGTGAAAGAGCTGTATGACTCTTCAGAGCTCAGCCCAAACAGTCACCTGCCTGATCAGCACTGAGCATACTCTGTGGGTCAGAGCAAGCTGCCACCACCTTCACCCTCAGAGAAATGGAAAACTCTCCTCGTACTAGCTGTTGTGAATCTGTCCAGAAAGCATAATGCTGTAGGGTGCCCAACTGTTTCTTTTTCTCTCCTTCTTTCCTTCTGCAATATGTCCCTAAGGAAAGCTATTCATAGAGGAAAGTTAGTTTATTGAAACCTTAGGGATGCAATCAAGGGAAAGTCAGAGGAATGTTCAGCCTTTCTCTCTTGAGGCTAGTCAAGTTTTAGAACTCTTAAAAGTTTTAGGTAATGGACAAAATGGAACATTCTTTCATCAAGGGTTTCTCAACATTTCAAATGCCTTCCTTCCAGGTTTTGAGCCCTAGTTATCTGCAGAAGTTCAGGTTGGTCCTCTATTCTAATATGTGCAAATAATTCCAGTTAGCCTTTCAGAACCTAAGCTGTCCCCCAAAATAAGACTTCACAACAGTGCCAAGATCCGTATCAAAGACCCAGAGCACAAGGACAGGCAAATGGTGAGAGCAAAATGGTGGAATTGGCAGCTACAGACCCCTCTCTCTGCAGAATCCTAAGAAAGAAAGCAAAAGCTGTCTGAAAGGACTTTATCAGAGCTGAAAAGACTCAAAGATTTGTAAAAATCAAACACTGATTTGAGAGAAGGATTCCTAAGAATATTAGGAAGCTTTGTGATATCTTTACCTATCATTTTTCCCCTACTCCCAAGCTCAGCAAGTCTTGAAAATTAAAGCCTTTGTTTCCAGTGCAGGGACCCAGCAGAGGGTAATTTATTCAAGTATTGAATCTGAACTAATCTGCTTGGGGTACTTGAACACAGGTGGTCATACTTATTTCACTCAACACAGAACTCCTTCATGGTCAAAAGACGCAAGCATTGTTTATGGTCATTGTGAATTAAGTAAAATCCAGGGCAATAGTTACTGTAGAGACAAATAATAGACTGCCTAAACCTGGGGAAAGATGGAGGAAATTTCTTAGGAATATTGTGGAAAACCATATACATGTCCAGGGAAGACATATGCTCAGAAAATACCTGAAAAGTCTCTAATCCTTTTACTTCTGATTGGTACCTGTGCTCACTAGAATCCTGACTAAGTGAGGAGGAGTGCCCCAGCCCAGAATTGATCTGCAAAGACAGAGGTGTCTGGTTTTCTTATTCATTTGTGACTATTTCATGTCTTTTGTTACTGTTGATTTTTGAGGTTTAGTTTCAGAGATTTTCTCCTGGTACTCAGTGAAATCTATTTCAGAAGGTTAAGTTAATACAATATAAAGGAACAGAGTTTTCCATGACCACTTATAACCTGAAATGTATTCTTTGTAATAACATTGTGGAAAAGTCACCAATCTAGTGGATGACTGCAGTCCTCAACAAGACAAAACACCATCAGGCAAAAACACCAAAAGGCAAAAGAAACAGCATACCTTCAGAGCAAGAATCTGATTTCCTAAGTTATGCCACATCAATATCCAAATACCTTTTTTTTAACAACAGAAAATCATAAGGCAGGTGGAAAACAGTAATCTAAGGCCCATTTAAAAGGAAAAAAAAAACTGACAGAAACCATTATTACTGAAGGTTAGACATTTTACTTAAAAAAGACTTTATGGTTTAAATATGTTCCAAGAGGTAAAAGTAAGCATGTTCTAAGATGTCAAGAAAGGGGACTAAAAGGAATCAGAAAAATAATGTTTGAACAAATAAAAATGTCAATAATAAATTGAAATTATAAAAATTCTTTCTTTCTTTTTTTCTTTTTTTTTCCCCCAGAACTGGGGATTGAACTCAGGCCTTTGCGCTTGCCAGGGAAGTGCTTATTCCACTGAGCCATCTCCCCAGCCCTGAAATTATAAAAATTCTTGAGCTAAAAAGTACAATAAATAAATGGAAAATTCACTAGAGAGGCGTATTTTAACTAGTAGAAGTAGTAATCAATGAAATTGAATTTAGGGGAACTGAAGATATTGACTATGAGAACCAGAAAAAAAAAATGATGAAGGAAAATGAACTGGGCATAAGGTACCTATTGCATACTATCAAGTATTCCAACCTACATACAATGGGAAACTCAGGAGGAGAAGACAAAGTGAAATTGCAGAAAGATCATATATATAAAAAATGGCCTAAGAATCCTCATGTTTGCTGTAAACAAGAATATGTATCAAAGAAGCTCTGGAAGCTCAAGCTGAATAATCTTAGATCAATACCCAAGGATTGGTATCCAAGGATTGGTAATCCTTCAAGGATAGAGGCAGATTCTTAGAAGCATCAAGAGAAAACACCTTGTCATCTATAAGATATCTTTGTAAGATCCATGGTCAACTTTTCACAAAAATTATGTAGGCCAGGAAGCATCACAGTAGCATATCAAAAATACTGCAAGAAAAAACTATCAGCTAAGAATTTTGTATCCAGATAATGTGTCCTCAAAAATGAATGGAATTAAGACATTCTACTGAAACAAAAGAGATTGATTGCCAGTAGATATGGTCTATCTGAAATGTTACAATGAGTCCTTCAGGTTCAAGTGAAAAGATACTAGATATAGACTTGATGCCATGTAAATATATAAAGACATCCATTAAGGATAACTAGGAAAATATACAATCCAGTTTGTGTGTGTGTGTGTGTGTGTGTGTGTGTGTGTGTATTTTAGTGAAGAGTCTATGGGGTGTTCAGGGTCTCACTACTAGATTGGAGTTGTAGTGGTCTGCCTGTTTACAGCCTCCCAAGAGCTGGGATTACAGGCATGCTACCACATCCAGTCTCAATGGCCATCTAAGTGTGCCCCATGGGTGGGGCCAGTACAGCAGGCCTGGGGCTTGAATCCCAGGCCCCTGCATCTGCTTGCAGGTGCTTTAATCTGCTGAGCTATTTGGCTGGCCCTACAATCCAGTTTTATTTTTCACAATTCCATGTTTTATTTCCTACATAATTTAAAAACCAGATGAATAAAAATATTTTTTATTAATTTCATGATAGAGTGATAACATTTATGACAACACAAAAGAAGATGGTGCTATATAAACTAGAGTTTGCATACTATTGAAGTTATTTTGCTATCATTTTAAATTACATTGTTTTAAAGGAGTAGGGTCATGTAGGTCAGTGAGAAGAGGAGGATAAGGAGAAGAAGAAAATCAAATTGTTTATTATAAAAAACAAGTAAATAAAAATAACAGAAGAAGTAAGGAGAAAACAGTATAAGACAAACAGAAAATAAATAGAAAATGGCTATTAGTAGTGAAATGTAAATATCTTAAACTCCAGCAAATAATCTCAATATAATTAAAAAGAATGATATATCAAATTTATTTTCCAACCATAATGAAGGAGAATAAAAATGTATAACTGAAGTTAAGTTGGAAAAATCATAAATGTATGGAAATTATACATTGTCTAACACCTATCAAAGTAATGAAATTAGAAAATAATTAGAGATAAGTGAGAAAATTTGGAGCTGGAGAGATGGCTAAGTGCAAGGGCCTGAGTTCAATCCCCAGTTCTGAAATAAAAAAAAAAAGAAAAAGAAAAAGAAAGAAAATTCAACATACTCAAATTTATGAAAAGTAATAAAGGCAGTGTTCATAAAAATAATTTATAGCTTTGAATACTTGAATTAAAAAAGTGGGATTATCTCAAGTAAGTAATTTATATACAAT